CGCGACTCGTGTGCGCGGGCGACCTGCGAACACGAATGCCGTCCGAAAAATCTATCATTCAAAGATACGGTCTGCAACAGAAGTGCTCGAGTTCTGTCTGTAACAGAGACCCACGAGGTCTTCTATTCGCAACAGAGACGCTTGAGGTCTTCCGTTCGCAACAGAGACGCTCGAGGTCTTCCGTTCGCAACAGAGACGCTCGAGGTCTTCCGTTCGCAACAGAGACGCTCGAGGTCTTCTGTTCGCAACATAGACGCTCGAGGTCTTCTGTTCGCAACAGAGACGCTCGAGGCCTTCTGTTCGCAACAGAAGGTCTTCTGGTCCGTTACAGCAATAAATGCCCAACGTTCTTCTCTTTTAATGCTGCGTTAAATGGACAGTTTATGGATGATTCAATGCCCAACGGACTGGTCATTTATGTCCAACGTTCAGGTCCATTAACACCCCATTTAACACACAACAAATACTCCTATAAAAGGCTGGCAGGTGGTTTGCCTTCTTCAAAATTTTCAATCCACGGAGCAGTATTTCTCGAAGCGGTGAGATTGACTTTGCTCAAATTGCCGTGTATTGCCATCTGTAGATCAAAAAATGAGTAATACTTGATTTGTCGCAACATGTATCTCTTTATGGCATTAAGACCTAGTTTTTTGTTTCTTTGGGAAAGTCTCTGATTCTCACATTTCTGTATTCAAAGAGCAGTTGTATCAAATCTTTCGGAATAATATATAAAAAATCAGCTTTAGAGACTCTTTGAATTACTCCGATCTGCCTTTCCAAAGTTATGATTAGATACTTTGTCAAGCCACATCTATGGATTTCTACTGAGGTGATCCCTAGGATCCAGGATTCAAAATGTTTCTTCAGATAACTACGAAGTTTATAAGGATCATTCTGATCAGCAGACATGTTTCTCAGCATCCATATATGTCCACTAGCACCAGCGCCTTCCATGTGTTCTAATCCTAGGAGTTTTAACTCGTCTATCTTCTTGATGTTCTTTGCACTCCTCCAGATCCTAGGACGAAGATCCTCTTGAAAAGGAACATCGATGTTGACATTTTCCCAGGGTGTTTCAAACTTATCTTCAATCTTGGATTCATTGGGACGTCTTTGGATCAAATCTTTTAATTTGTGAAAGTCGGGGAGTGGATCATCATAAAATTCTCCTTGGTTCATTTCTTCTAGTTCAAGCTCCATTAGTTCTTCAATGGCTTTCTTCTTAAGTTCTGTGATGTAGTTCAGCTTTATCAGTGCATCTTCATTGCTTAGTCCTTGTAGATGATCCTTTTCATATGTTTCAGTCCAATCAACTAACAACAGATCAGCTTTTGATGGTGCTTTTTATTTTTCTAATGATGGTGGTGCTTGTGGTGCTTTTTCTTTTCTTTTTGATGATGATCGTTGTTTAGATGATGGCTTTGAGAATATAGGAACTGAAGCAGATGAAGGAATAGTCGTAGGAACTTTTTGGAACACATGTAGGAATAGTAACGGGTAAAGTAACACTGGAGTCACAAAGACTTACTGTTGTCATCATACTAGAGACGGGCTCGTTCCGATGGTCTCAATACAATGGTGATTCATATGATGCATTGTCAGGGCTTCCTTCCAATCATGGGACTACATCCATAGTAGATGAGCCTATAGAAGTTCTTGTGAGGACACATAGTCCTAGCACTATAGGAGTAGGTGAGGACGGTGAAGGAAATGGAAATGGTTTGTGTTGGAAAAATGTGTTAAAATTGCATTAAATGGTCATTTTGGGGCAATTATTTGAGTGGGGTCCACTTCCGATTTGGATTGGGTTAAAGTGGTTTCGGATTGTCCTTGTTAAGGGCTACAATTCGATATATGGTACGCTCAAAACGGATAACGGGTGAATGAGAAATTGATTCTCGAAGTTCACTCGTTGAAATGGAAAACTGGGAAAATGATGGGTTTCTAGTGTGTTTTATCCCCACCAGAAAATTCAAGGGATTTTCACCCCCTTATAAAGGGAAGCCTCTTTTAAGGAGTTAAGATTCGTAAAGGTAAAGGCTCTCTCTTACGCGCAGGGGGGGTGCCGATCAAATCCCGAAACGTAGAAGAAAAACCACGACTCGTGTGCGCGGGCGACCTGCGGAGACGAATGTCGTCCGAAAAATCTATCATTCAAAGATACGATCTGGAACAGAAGTGCTCGAGTTCTGTCCACAACAGAGACCCTCGAGGTCTTCTGTTCGCAACAAAGACGCTCGAGGCCTTCTGTTCGCAACAGAAGGTCTTCTGGTCTGTTACAGCAATAAATGCCCAACGTTCTTCTCTTTTAATGCTGCGTTAAATGGACAGTTTATGGATGATTCAATGCCCAATGGACTGGTCATTGATGTCCAACGTTCAGGTCCATTAACACCTCATTTAACACACAACAAATCCTCCTATAAAAGGCTGGCAGGTGGTTTGCAACAAGACACAACACACAATACATTCCTCACGTTTTCTTGAGCTAAAAAACACTTCCATCTACTCCGAAATTTCCCTAGTGTTCTGCTATTGTTCCAGTTCGCAGGAACGTTAGCCACCGTATCCTGGGAAACGGTCGTTGCAACGCTCCTAGCACCGTGGGAGGCGACGAATACGTTTTAAGGACATCGTGCGGAGCACGAGCTCTGACTAAAATCTGCATCATCTTATTTTTTGTTTTCTTTTAGCTATTTTATTTATTAATTAATTTTATTTCATTAATATTTCTTCGTTTTTCCCGAAATACACCTAACAGTTTGTAAATGGTTAAGGCTAAGGATTCATATGATGGGGCTTCAGATGATGGTGAAGGTTGTGGTTGAGAAGATGATGAAGGTTTAGAGCTAGATGATGGATATGGAACTATACCTATGGATGATTGCTCAAAAGTAATCAATGAAACCTAAGTTAGTAAATATTTATGTTAGGTATTATTTTTAATTTAAAAGTTGAGCTTGAAAAACTTAAAACATACCATCATTTATTTTTTGAGCTGGCACTACCGCACTACAAACTAGTCACATGCTAAAAAAATATATAATCATTACAAACAAGACAACGAGATAACCTTCCACTATTCCGGTGATGTCCCATTTTAAGCCGGTATGGGACCGGTGCGGGACAAACGGAACGGGACAACGGCGGTACATATCCGGGATATATCAGAATGAGACAACGGGACCGGGATTCTTGCCCACCCCTACATGTTTTGATTATTTTTTGACTGTCCATCGGTTTTGCTACCCTAAGATGGTAAAGTCATCAACACCCTTCAACTTGCTTGTAGCTTTTGATTTTTAAGCTCTTAATTTAAGTAGATGATACTACTTGAAAATACTCATTCTAGCTTTTTTTAAACGAAAAGTTGAAAATCATTTTTTATTTTTATTTTTTGTAATCACTACCTTAGTTTTAGTAGAGTTATTTTACGTCTTAGTATATGGGTACTCGCTCCATTCTCTGTTACATGTCCCCTTAAGGTTTGACAATGATTTTAAGAGGAAAATAGTAGGAGTAGTATAGAGGATATGATGTAGGGTAAATGAAAAAGTAGGAAAATAATATATTAAGAGTAAAGTAATGATAAAGTAGGAAAAAGAAAATAGTATGTAAAAAGTAAAGATGGTAACAATAATAAAAATGGGATATAAAGACATTTTGATTGGAAAAGTTTACCAAAAAAGATAAAACAACAACATCCAAGCCTTAGTCCCAAAAGATATTGGGATCGGCTAACATGAATCGATACATGATATCACAACCAAAAGGAAAAGAAGGAATAAAGATAAAAAGATAAGCTATTATGAAAAGATAATATGAATAAAATAAAAAGGCTGCAAATAATGCATATATATATATAAGGATAAAAAAAACTAGAAAAAAAAAGATGAGGGAAAGTTTACCAAAAAAGATTACCAAAAAAGATAAAAGAGACAAATAATTATAAATACACCAAAAAGAATACGAAAAAGTTAATAGAGAACAAATGAAGTAATATTTTAGAAGTATGAAAAAAGAAAATTAAAGGACAGTGTGTACAAAAAATAATTAGAAAAAGAAAATCTGGATGTGTCACTCAGCGACTTCTCGCCAGAGAGGGTTCAAAAAATATGACGGTTGTGGGATTTGAACCCACGCCCTTTCGGACCAGAGCCTAAATCTGGCGCCTTAGACCACTCGGCCAAACCGTCCTCTTGTGCACATATTCGTACATATAAATAACATTAATTTCTTTGAATTGGCTACAGAGTTTTTTTTAATGAATGGAGCATTCTCTTCGAGATGTATTTTTTGTTGGGAAAATTCCCGAAATAGGAGTAAAAAAGTTTAAAAATTCCAAAATAGGATTGTCACGTTTCTATTCCCAAAATAGAAGCAATTACTGCCAAGTTTGAAAAATACTATCATGTTTAAAGTCTGGTACTGCCAAAACATGACGGTAATTACTGTTTTGGCAGGAATTACTGCCAAAACTAAGGTAGTGTTTACAAAAAATAAAAATATGATAGTATTCCCAAAATAGGACTAATTACTGCCATGTTTTGGCAGTACCAGACTTTAAACATGATAGTATTTTTCAAACTTGGCAGTAATTGCTTCTATTTTGGGAATAGAAACATGACAGTCCTATTTTGGAATTTTTAAACTTTTTTACTCCTATTTCGGGAATTTTCCCGATAAAAAAACATCTCGAAGAGAATGCTCCATTCATTAAAAAAACTCTGTAGCCAATTCAAAGAAATTGATGTTATTTGTTTGTACGAATCTGTGCACAAGAGGACGGTTTGGCCGAGTGGTCTAAGGCGCCAGATTTAGGCTCTGGTCCGAAAGGGCGTGGGTTCAAATCCCACAGCCGTCATATTTTTTGAACCCTCTCTGGCGAGAAGTCGCTTAGTGACACATCCAGATTTTCTTTTTCTAATTATTTTTTGTACACACTGTCCAACTGTTTTTTTTTTTTTATGTCTTGAATATGTGCCAAACTGAGAATATCTCTTTTTATATATTCTCTTTTTCAAACACAGGCCAATCACCACACACGTGTGAAGTGAAGCCCTATCATGCTCTTCGCTCCGCTCATGGCTCTTTCACTTCATGCATCAAAACCTAATCCACATTTCAGTTACAGTTGCTCCTCTTCTGGTAATTCCTCCAATTCCAAAGCTTCCAAACTCCCCCATTTCCTTCCATGGCAAAAGGTACTCACTCCTCCATTAAGAATCATGGAAAACACCCGATTCCCCTTTAGGATTTTTTTATATCACTGGTTGTGGGGGTTTTCCAGGTAAAGGTGGGACCTTTAAGCGTATCGCCTATGGGGTTTGGGACATGGGCTTGGGGAAACAAGATTCTTTGGGGATATGAGGAATCCATGGACACTCAGCTTCAGCACACTTTCAATTTCAGTCTTGAAAATGGGATCAATCTGTTTGATACTGCCGATTCCTATGGAACCCTTGGGTTGAATGGACGAAGTGAGAAGCTTCTAGGCAAGTTCATCTGTGAATTTCAAGGTCATTCTTCCACATTTTCCTTTTCTTTTTGTTGTTGACACATTCAGAGTTATTTAGTTGCTGGATTAATTTTCCTATTTGTTAGCTATCGTCCTTTTGATCTTCCACCTAAAAAACTTCAGGTTAACTGTCTGGGTGAACTCATTCTGTGAAGCACATATCTTTTCAGCTCAAAACTTAATGAGACATTTTGAGTCATCTTACATTTATAAGATATACCAATACATGCTTTAAACATGTTGAAAGTCAGAACTTTTAACTAAAATCTGGTGTAATCGTTTTCACTTTTGAGCTAATTTTCATATTCAGTTGGACTTTTAGGGTTGAATCTCATACTCCGTATTTTAGTCGAACATTTTGAAAAGTCAGAACTTTTTGCTATGTAATACTACCTCCATCGCACTAACATTGGGACATGACTACATGAGGAGGTGGCACGATTTTTTAAGAAAAGTGGGTTTATGTGGTTCATATTGAATTGATAAAGTAAGAAAAAAGTAAGACTGGTTTAGAACCACCCAAATTTTACGAAACCTGGTATTATACAATCTTAATGGGATGGACCAAAAAGGAATGATGAGACAGTCTTAGCGGGACAGAGGGAGTAATTGTGTAGAACTACATTTTATGTTCTATAACATTGGGTAGGATTGAATCTCAAATTCTAGTAGAACATCTTGAAAAGTCAGAATTTTTAGCAATAAAATAATTGTTTGAGCTACTGTTCATATCATAAGAGGTTGACTTTTAGAATTGAATCTCAAACTTTGATTAGACATTAGGATATATCAGAATTTTTAGCTAAAAGATAACTGTTTCGAGATGCTTTACATAGAATGTCATGTTCACTTTTAAGGTATGAATATCAATTTTTTGCTGAACTCTTTGAAAATTTAAAATCCGTTGCTCAAAAACAAAATTTTTGTGCTAAATAGTGAGATGACTTACTGGAGTGGTCTCCCTCTAAGGTTTTTTTCGATCTTTTTATGTTCCGTTTGACTATTTGCATATGACTATGAGGCAACAGTCTTTTTTGGCCATATAAATGATTCAGGAAGTAAGAGGGTGCAAGATGACATTGTGATTGCTACAAAGTTTGCAGCATATCCGTGGCGCCTGACCCCTGGACAGTTTGTGAATGCTTGCAAGTATGCTTCATCATCATCATTTTATCTCACATTAAACTAATGTACTATGTAGTTCCTGTACATAATATACTCGTAGCTATTATAGAGCTTTGAACTTGAATATGTTAAGTCTATCTTATATTGATAGAATTGAAAAATATAAGCAAACATATACTACCTCTATCTTTAAAAAGTTTTTCATTTTACTACTCATATGGTCAAACTAATTTTAGGTTCAAACTCGGCTTTGCGGTGAAATAAAACTTTTAGCATAATTTCACAATATGCAAGTAGGGTTATGAGCTACTACTCTTAAACACTTGACTATAGTATGGAATCACATGTCTTTATATATCGAAGAGATGTCTTTATGGTGATGAATCGTGTGTTAGGTGTTCTTTAAAGAGGTTGCAAATTGAACAAATTGGAATTGGACAATTGCACTGGTCTACTGCAAACTATGCACCTCTACAAGAAAAAGCTCTCTGGGATGGTTTAGTGGCAATGTATGAGAAGGTTACCTGAACCTCTTCTGATTATTTGGAATGGTTATGTATTTTAGTCTAGGTGTTTAAATTGGTAGTTATTCACTTTTTCTTCAGCCGTTAAAATACAATTATGGGGTTATAGGGGTTAGTTCGTGCGGTTGGTGTAAGCAACTACGGACCAAAGCAGCTTCTGAAAATACATAATTACCTTGAAGCGCGTGGAGTTCCCTTATCGTCCGCTCAGGTTCATAGATATATTCCCATCTTTCATACAAATTTGTGTTATATTCATACGTGGTGTGTTGAGTGTTTTGTGTTAGTTCAAAACTAGGTACAATTCTCATTGCTGAGTATGGGAAGTGAGCAGATGGAAATTAAAGATATATGTGATTCTTTGGGCATACGCTTGATTGCTTACAGTCCCCTTGGTCTTGGCATGCTCACTGGAAAATACAGCCCTTCCAATCTTCCTAAAGGGCCTAGGTACATCGTTTTCACCTGTTTAGCACTCATTTGCGTAAAAGAAAGCACTCATGGGCGTAGTGGCTATGGGATGGGCAACCCGGGTGGCCAGGCCCAACCCGTATTCAAAAAAATAAAACTTTATTACTGTGTGCAAGATTTTTATCATTAAAATTATTCCCTCCGGTTCTAAATAAAGTTCCCAATTTGACTCTAGCTTTTTTAATAAAGTGGAATTTTTGCTTTTGACTTTTCATTATACCATTACAAAAAGTAGATTAGGTGTATTGGGAGAGAAAAAGTGGGCGTAAAGTAGCTGAATAAAGTAAGGGTATAAAGGTAACTCTCTATTAAAAATTTGCCAAAAATAGAAATGAGAATTTTATTTTGGACTTGTCTAAAAAGAAAAGTGAGAACTTTGGGGGTGTTTGGAACTGATTTTGCTTTTGCTTCTTTTTTAAAGTAGAAGCAGAATCAGAATCAGTTTTCAGAAGCCGCTCTCTCCCATCTTCTAAAGAAACTGCTTCTAGGAGTAAATTAGAGCACCAGAAGTACTTGTGCATTTTCACCCAAACACTCCAACGCTCCAGTTTTAAGAATCAGATCCAAGCACCCCTTTATTTAGGATCAGAGGGAGTATATTTGTATATATATGGGTTATTTTTCTGGTCCACTTAAAAATCAAGTTTTTTTAGGATCCTGGCTTCACCACTGGAACATGCACAGTACAGAAACAATCAATAAATAAATATTTTGATCACTCAATTCTTCTTGATAGTCCTTGTTAAAGTTGTGAGTTCAGTCTCTCGCCTTGTATTAACACGTGTATCTTTTCCTTTCATCTTCTCAAAAGCAATGTCATCATTAGTTTGTGAGGAACTGAATTGGCAGCTTAATATTTATAACTGTGGTACAGATTCGGGTCAAAGTGATCATAAGGGATTACATTGCACTGTTTTTTTTTTCAATTTTAGTCATCTAACTTGATGGGGAAATTACACTTTTTGTACCCATGTTTGTGACAGATACATTTTATAGTTTTGATTCTCATTGTTGAATTTCCTCACTTTCAAACCTAATACAATTGTGACATTGACGTTTTTGATCTTTCAACTATTATGAATTCGTGACAGCGACACTTTTAGATATTTAGTTACTCTACTATTGTCACAAACGTCAAAGTCGAGTGACAAAACTGCTAGTGTCAAAAAAAAAACAAAGAGGTAAAAGTGGAAAAAACTCTGCAGATTCATGAAGACTTGAGGGAATAAAATGACAAATTTCCCCTTTTAAGGTGGTAAAAAGTTTCATTGTTTCACCTCATCGTGATTTTCAACAGGGGCTTCCTGTTCAGTAACATTCTACCTGGGCTGCAACCTTTGATGAAGTCCTTAAAAGATATAGCTCGAAAAAGGGGCAAAACTGTACCTCAGGTTCATTAGTTAACTTGTTCTGTGGATGGTTTTTTGTAAGCTTTCCTGGTATAGATACGATCTCAGATGCAATTATAATCACAGGTTGCAATTAACTGGTGTTTGTGCAAAGGCACGATTCCCATACCGGGAGTTAAGTCAGTGAAACAAGCTGAAGAAAATGCAGGTGCCCTTGGGTGGCAACTATATGCGGATGAGTTGACAGAATTGGAACATGGAGCTCTTCAATCTCCGCGAAAGATGGTTCAGAACATCTTTCAAACCACCTAGTCATTACTTTGTTCTCTCTTGTAAAAGCTGTGTAAAGGAGTAAAGACTGGCAGGGGCCATTTCATTTTATAAGCAACGCTCTCAACCTTTTTTATTGCCCATAAGACAGAAAAAAAAATCTAAATGATACTCCAAATGTGATTGTGTAATTAGGTAAAATGTAAATTAATGTTAGTAAGCAGGGGCCATTTCATTTTATAAGCAACGCTCTCAACCTTTTTTACCGTCTGTGAAGATAAAGCAATTATTTTAAGGTGACAACTCTGGTACCTTTCTGAAAAATAGGGTACTGTGCCTATCATTCATTTCATTGCACCACAACACTTTATCATTTTTAATTTAGATTTAAATAATTCAACTGCTACATTCTCATTGGTTCATGTGGACAAAGGTAGTGTTGGACTCGGGCCGGGCCAACCGGCCCGGAACCGGACTGGCCCGCTACTGTGCGTGCCCGGACCGGCCCGGTGAACCGGTTGGTGCCCGGTTTGGGCCACCCGGCCCGGTGAGGTAGGCGGGCTAGGCCCGGGCCTCCTAAAATGTGAACCGGCCTGGCCGGTTCGGGCCTGGTCCGGGCCAAAATTTTTTTTTTTTTGAATTTTTTTAAGTTTTTGGGTTGGGCTGGGTATGATGGGCCATTTGAGGTGGTTTGGGGGTGAGGGTTGGGGGTTAATTAGGAAAAGCCAAAAAAAAATATAAGAACCGAGACCCGGATCGGATCCGGGGGTTACCCGGACCGGACCCGGGGGTTACCCGGGCCGGTTCCGGGCCTCCCCTTTCATGAACTGAGGCACGGCCGGGCCCGAACCGAAACCGGTCTACCCCTAGACAAAGGTATGGTACCTTATGGGTATCATATAATCTACCTTATTTTAATATCTTAAAATAGCTTCACGCTGTGTATGTGTTTGTATGTCAAACATTGTATCTTCCAGAAAAGTACACCTAAGATGTCCTGAATAAATTGTTCAATATTTTATGTTGGAGTTGATGAAAATTGTATTTAAGGTGAAGGTAGGGAGTTGATGAAAATTGTATTCAAGGTGAAGGTAGCAAAGGGTGCACATAAGAAGGGACACAGTCCGGCAGTCCAGCCTGAAACCAAGTCCAGTACTGTTACGGGCCACAGATCAAACCAAGTCTATTACTGGGGTTTCAGGAATGGGACCAAACTGAGTCCAACCCGACCTGGACCATGGCTAGGACCACCCAGCCCTTTACCAAGGATGGACATTGTTTTTTAATTGAACTGATATTAATCTCAAACCAAACTAGACTTGAATAAGTTGAACTACATCAAACAAGACTTTGACAATAACAAAATATGTATTGTCTCCGGTCTCCGTATGTATTTTAACTTTTCCTGCACTTTGACAATTACACTTGCATTTTCTAATTATGAATTTCTCATTCATACTACGTACTTTTCCACAAGTTCTTTTTCTATACTCCCTCCGTCCCAAATTTATCTTCATAGTTACTATTCACACGCTAAACTCAAATTACTCTTAATCTTTTACTTTATATATCAAATTTTTATCAAACTAAAATTTTCTTGATCAGACTTTGTAGCGGATTTAATGTAGTTTCAGAATATGTAAATTTAATTTACTAAAAATAATCTGAGTGTGAACAGGGATCAAGTTGCTTTATCGTCAGTCAAGCATCGTAAACCGAACTAAGAAGATAAATATGGGACGGAGGGAGTACTATTTTCCTTAAATATTGTGCCACAACTTACTGTAGCAACATTTCAATACCCAGCCCTATATAAATCAGACATCTAATAAAACGTATCAAACCAAACTTAAACAAGCAGATCAAACGAGAAAATTTGAATTTGATTAAAAACGTACTCAGTCTACACTTGCAGAGCAAATTTGATTAGGCTGGGCAAATAACAAAATAAGAATTGTTGTGTTCTTATAAGCAAATGAAGATCATGAATTCATTCATAATACACTTGCAACAAAAATATATCTAGAATCCAACATGCAGCAATAAGAACACGATATCTCAAGTAAAGTCTAACAGGCACAACTGTTCCATCCAACTAGGGATGTTTTACTTGATCTTCTTCTTTGGCCTTAGCTGAAATAAGAAGATGAAGCATGAATGAAATGGTCACAAGAATTACCAGTGTGCAGTGTTTGAAGCTGAATATAGAAATTATACAAATAATACCTGGTTGCTATGGCCACACTTTTTCTTCCTGCAGTTGACAGCGCGAGGGTGCAAGCGGGCATAACATCTAGAAGAAAAGGAAACAGTTTTTCATTAATTAGAGACGAGTCAGTAATTTCACTGATTCCCATTTCCAATAAGAGATTTACAGATTGTTGTTTCAGGAACCCACTTTAAAAAATTAAAAATTCTTTAATTGCTTCTAAATCTGAAATCTGTGAAAACGTGTTTCTTTTCAAGGAATATCAATGGTTCACAGAGGGTAGATTTATTTCTTCATGTTTTATGGCTTAAATCCTTAAACATAGCCCAATCATAAATGAAACTTATTATATACACAAATTATTACTCTTTCATGAGAAAAGCCTGCCACAGAAAACTTTTCAAGAACAAACTTGTTTTGGAAAACAGTACAACTCAGCACAACATGGAGCAATATTGGAGTGAGTAATAAAATTGTATTTCTCTTGGAAACTTACTTCAACCAAACCCATTACAGTAAAAAGTCATTTTCAGCCATTTCTAGAATATAAATTAGGAAAGTATAGAATAGCCCTATGGCAGGGTGCCCAAACAACATTTATGGCATGTTCTTACAGAGTAAAAATTGGTATTGATAAGGACTAATAAAGAAGACTATGGGCTCGATCTTAATAGAAAAGGAACATCGTTAAGTGTTGAGCTTGAATGTCTTAAAGATCATAAGTAAGCTTCTGATAGACATGTTATGAAAATCGGCAGGAAACTAAAGCAGAGATGGTTCAACTGATAGAATGTCTTAAGAAACACTAGTTACTTAATTAGAAGCAAGAAACTAGAGCAGTCAACTTACTTGCGGCAAATTGTCTTCTCCTGGTTAAATTTCCTGGCCAACGCCACAAGAGATGGTTCAATAATCCCACCACGCAGTCTCAGAACAAGGTGCAGAGTAGATTCTGCCAATTAATTAGCAGATATACCATCTTATGAATCAATCATGGAAACAAAAATGAAAAGAAACCCTATCCTTCGAATATCACATAATTAAATTTAGGGAAAATTAAAGCAATATTACTAAAACATAGAGCCTTTCCCATAATGTGACGAACTAATGACATTTACCACAATATCACTAAAACAGTTACCATATTAATAAAATTCATCGTACAAACTCTGAACTTACCCTTTTGGATATTGTAATCAGCGAGGGTACGGCCATCCTCAAGTTGCTTGCCGGCAAAGATCAAACGCTGCTGGTCCGGTGGAATGCCTGATACCGTATAAAACAAAAGAAATCAGATGAAAAATGAAACCGTAAGTCAAATCTTAAGAGCAATTGATATGCGTAAAGAGAAAGGACCTTCTTTGTCTTGAATCTTGGCCTTCACATTGTCTATAGTGTCGCTCGATTCGACCTCTAGAGTGATGGTCTTTCCGGTTAGGGTTTTCACGAAAATCTGCATTTTGTTGCCGTGGTTCCTCAAGATGGCCTGTCGTGTTATCGGCGACTGAGTTAGATATGCTGCTGTTAGGGTTTGTTGAGGTGTCTTCTATAAATATTACTGAGTTGGATCTTTACACTTTCCATTTTAGCAATATCAGAAAGATCTTTACGGTTCTTTATTTGTCTTATTTGAAAAATAAATCTACACAAAACAGTGACAAACAGTGTCAAATAGTGCCAAACAGTGTTTATTTTCTTAAAAACTGTGAAGCCAAAGTATCAAGATCTTTTGGAACCGGAGGAAGTACTATTACTAGTACTTAGTAGTACTAAACATTCGGTATGATCTGTTTAAGTCTGGTCTGATAAACGTTTGGTCTCTATGTATTTTATAATTACAGAAGTCAAATCTTGTCTGATCTGTATAAGTCCGATCTCATTTAGTCTAATCTGTTTTGAAGTATGATCTCGTATGGTTTGGGACTGAAAAACCGTCCAAGTAAAAACATTCTTAAAAGGTTATGGATTTTTTGAATGATCGATGAACTTGTCCATGAATTAAAAAAATCATCACAATCCATATTCAATACACACTCATTAATTATAATTAGTGACTATAATTGTTTTTAAAGTTTACACAACGATGAATTACATATAGTTACTATGATATGGATTTTGAATACAATTATGATCACTAATTGTTACTAAATCATATTTATGTCTACTACTTTTTCAGGAGTAATATTAGCAGATTTTTTACCACGAATAGTTGTTTTAACGAGGAAAATTAGATATTATACCTGTATGACGCAAAGACAAAAAAAAAATCAAAGGTTATCCAATTATTATTTAAATACTAACATACCAATTATATATGGTTGCAATAGAATTTGTTTAGATATGAAAACTATTAAAATGTGTTCATGAGTAATGACTTGATTAATCCAATTTTAGAAACAAAAAGTTGGACTTATAGCATGTGAAAAAATGGAGAAAGCAAAAAATTTTCACACAAAGTCATATCCCCAAACTTCAATTTGTGTCAGGTACGTCACAACAAAATGGTGTAGTTAAGAGGCGGAATCATACGTTAATTGAAATGGTTAAAAGTATGTTAAGTTATTCTACCTTAACGTCTTCGTTGTGAATGTATGCATTAAAGATTGTTGCATATCTATTAAATCGGGTTTCGAGTAAGGCCGTTCCTAAGACCCCTTATGAACTGTGGAACGGTGAGAACCTAGTTTGAGACATCTCCATATTTGGGGGAGTCCTGCAGAAGTAAGAGTATACAATCCACATGAAAAGAAATTTGATTTGAGGACAGTTGGTGGATTTTTCATTGGTTATTCTGAAAAGTTTAAAAGGTTTAGATTTTATTGTCCTAGTCATAGTATGAGAATTGTAGAGAGACAATGCTCAGTTCATGTAAAATGGTCAAGTTAGTGGGAGTGATGAACCACAAAATGTGATCATTCAAGAACAAAAAGATAATGGCATGTTCCCATGTGTCAGACACATCAATAGTAGCTCAAACGCCAACAAGCGACATGAATATATAGTTAGTGACACAATCACTAATGATCAGAATGAAGCCGTAGTTGGTGAACAAGATACTAATGAGCATCTTGAGACCACTTCAAATGAACATGTGATCACTCAATAAAATGATAATTTTTCAAAAGGAATGGCGTTAAGAAGGTCATCTAGGGAAAATGGTATGCTATTTCATCAGATGAGTATTTACTATATTCTATTGAGCATGAGTGTGACTTGAGCATTGGTGAGGATCTAGTCTCATTTCATGAGGAAGCCATTGATAGTAAAAACTCGAATAAGTGGATTGATTCCATGAATGAAGAGCTTAAATCAATGTATGATAATAATTTCTGGGATTTATAGGAAGAAAGGTACATGGATCAACCAGAAAGATTTTTGGTCACTTGTAAGGAAAATTTTGTGTGTACATTACAAAAGTCAATATATGGACTAGAAACAAGCTTCCTGACAATGATATCTTAGATTTCATAATACCATTTCTTCTTATGGTTTTATAGAGAACGTTGTTGACCGGTATATATGAAGGTTTGTGGGAGCAGGTTTGTAGTTTTAGTCCTATATGTTGATGATATCTTTTTTGTTGTGAATAATATGACCATGATACATGATGCTAAGAAGTTCCTTTCTAAGAACCTTGAGATGGAAGATATGGGTGAGGCATCCTATGTGATTTGAATCGAAATATTTCAAAACCGTTCACAAGGAATTTTGGGTATGTCTAACAAAAGCTACACCAATCAGATCTTAGAAAGATTTAATATGGGAAAATGCTCTTCATGTGTGGTTCCAATTCGGAAGGGGGACAAATTCAGTTTATTACAATGTCCTAAAAATGAATTGGAACGTAAGGAGATGGAAAGATGCAAAGAAATTTTTTAGGTACTTGCTAGCCACCAAAAATCACATGCTTACATTTAAGAGATCTGATCATCTTGGGGTGATTGGAATCATTGGATATTCAGATTTAGACTTTGTTGGATGTGTCGATAGGAGAAAGTCAACATACGGTTATTAGTTCATATTAGCTGAAGGAGCAGTATCTTAGAAGAGCAGTAAACAAACAGTTATTGCTACTTCCACTATGGAGGCAGAATTTGTGGCATGCTTTGAGGCCACTGTTCATGATTTGTGGCTGTGGAACTTTGTTTTAGGACTTGGGATTGTCCAGAGTGTATAGCTTAAGCCGCTGAAAATTTATTGTGATAATTCTGCAACAGTCTTCATCACGAAGAATGATAGATAAACTTAAGGTGCTTAGCACATAGATTTGAAGTACTTGCCACTAAAGGAAGAAGTTCAGAACCATAGTGTGTTTATTGAGCATATTGGCACTGAGCAAATGGTTGCGGATCCACTAATTAACTAAAGGACTGTCACCCAAGTTTTTTAACAATCATGTAATTAGTATGTATGAGTGTTGTTGATAACGCTTTGTTGTGATTGTCAATGATTTATGTTTGCTCATTTTTATAAATTATTATTCTGACACTCATTTATATTCAATAAACGTTATATTTCAGCTTTACTTGTTATCTACTCCCTCCGTCCCACTAACAATGGCACGAGAGGGAGTGACACACAAATTAATAAAAAGTGATTTATGTGGTTGATATTGAATTGATAAAGTAAGAATAAAATAAGAATGATTAAGAGCGACACAAATTTTACCAAATTTGGTGTGAGACGGACCAAAAAGGTAAAATGGGACAATCTTAGCGAGACGGAGGAAGTATTTGATTGTAATTACATATAATTATTTGTAATGATAACAAGTGTTGAAGATTTAAGTATTCCTCAAATTTAAGAATTGAGACTTTCGGATTTGTCAATGATAAGGATAAATTAGAATGTCTTGTGCTACATGGAAGGGAGCATGTGAGTATAAATGGTGTGCAACCGCCATGATCTAATCAATTTGAAATCAGTTAAGTTTTTTCTTGATGAGTTTGTTTTGATGAATACTGCGCAATTTAGGTTTTCATCAATTCATCAAGGATCACACGACCAAGTGGAAGAATGTTAGGATATTTAGTTAATTAATTAATATTCTATTATTGGTCATGTAATTGGGGTTATACGTAGTATATTACTTCCTCCGTCCTGAATTGAATTGCAAACTTTGACCAGCATAATGATTAAGGAATGACAATAAATGATGTTTGCTTTTTACACTTTTGCCCATCTTGCTAAAAGTAGATGACCTTAAGTTAATGGGAAAAAAGTAAAAGTAAGGATAAATTTGTCACTGTATTCTTATTTACATACCCAAAATAGAAAGTGGAAAATTATTTTGGGACAACCAAAATATAAAATTTTGCATATCAAATTGGGACGAGGGAGTATTTATAGAGTTCATATAGTCCTAGACTTTTAATTGATTTAGTGATAGACTGAACCTGTATAACACACAAGACAATTGAAAGATCTCTACCTGTCACGAATTTCATAAGGAAAGACGCTAGAGGGATACGAGATTTATTCCAGTTCATTCATCTATCATGGATCCAAGTATTCCTAAATCTTGATCTATTAGTATATGATTATGCATAATTATATAATGTCGACCTTGCAATTTAATCTTACAGAATAATCTAGGCGGGACGGAGGGAGCGACATTTAGTCGAATAGTGTTTGTACTTTTAAAAAATGTATCAGAATATAAGTTAAATTGTGTCAAGAAAACTAATCACGCACTAATTAAATAAAGATGTGATTTGAATACTTGCTCCATTCCCACAAGTTCAGCCATTTTACATTTTAGATAGTCACCAGCATATTTCTTTTTTAGCACTTCGTATTTGAACATGTATATGATATTACTATAATGTTTACTGTATATCCGGTGGAGGACCTAAGGGGGCTAGGAGGGCACGTGCCCCCGCTTTGGCCCCGAAATTTCACTAGTAGCACTTAAGGTAAAAATTAATGCCTCCATTTCATACCAATATTTGATAATTAAGATACTAAATTTAGTGTCTAGTGTGCCTCGCTCTCACAAAATTCTGGATCCGCCGCCACTGTGTATATCCTAAATACGAAGTAGATGAACTTGAATTAGTAATCCTACATTATACTTTTACTTATCCACTATTTTGGGTTAAATGTGTCAAACTCCCTCTTGAAATATAAATTCGTTGCATTAGCCCCCAGTGATTTAAAAAATGCGTCAAACCCCCATGTGTTTTAATTAATCATGCGCAAAACCCCCTTCAAGAACAAATTTTATAATTTTAAAATCACATTTTATAATAATATGGTTGAATATGCAAGTAAGTTTGTCAAAATTTCTAAATTATATAAAAAAACTAATCATTTTTATTTCTTTTTTGGAAATTAAATTTGTTCCGGGGGTTTGGGCATTAACTATTTTGTTGTGAGTTGTGACAGTATGTTAGTCCCGCCTAGTCCAGGGGAATACAAAAAGATACTTCTTTCGCTTCAAGATCTCAACCAATGATTTGGAACAAGAGCTTTTCATTGATCTTTATTTATTTTTGACAACTTTTCTTTTTTTCATTTTCGTTTTGTTTTTATCGAAAATGTACTTATTTGATGCAGACGGGAGTTTGGGTCCTCTCTCACGTGAAAATCACATGGAAGATGATGAAGGGAATGTTACTCCGTATGTGAATGTTGGATTCAACAGTGAACCCAATTATTAATTGAGAAGAGGGCACTCGGCCCCCCTTCCGCGTCATTGCAAGAAACATCTCCCAAACATCTTTTACCTTTGACAAATTAAGATGGTCAAATCATTTTAGTTTTCTATTTCTTTTTTTTTGTAGTACATAAAAGGGTTTCTCACTAGACTTATTAGAGATCATTCAAATGTCACCCTTACATATTTGATAAATCCTTATCGTTAATTTCAGGATCCTTAACTAAATAACCTCCACCAATTATGACCAAACCTTATGTTTGCACATGGAAACGGTCACATTTGAAAAATCAACATGAATCGCTAATCATGAAACGAGCTTGATACAATTATCACTAGTCACTTTTAATGACATAAATTTCATTTGCACACTCGATTGTATAATAATTGAAATAAGTAAGGTTGAAATTACTTTTCTGGCTGAATCAGCCGAAGTTAATTTAGAGGATCATTTTAATTATTTTTCATATAATTTTTTCCTTATTATTTTAATAAAATGTATTTTAAATACTCCGTATATTTTTTCAATAATTCAGTTACTCTATGCAAAACTTCATCAATTTCAGCAAATTCAACTGATTCAACCAAATTACGTGTTATTAAACGGGCTCCACTTGTTTGGATTTATAGGATACACAGTTTCATATACTCATTCCCACTTTGAAAGTAGGTAGATTATGAATAGTGAAAGGTAATATAAATTATTGAGGGTATGATGAGAAGATAGTTAAATAATTTGAGGCAATGATAGATAAATCCAAAAAGTAGTTATAATATAATAATGTACTTAGTATTATTTTCAAAATTATTTGGAGGTATGATATGAAGATTTTTTTGGGAGAGAATTGAAAATGGCTTATGTTAAAAACATAGAGTCCAACCAAACAACAACAGGACCAGACATAGTAGACAAGCAAGAAAGACCAGAAAACATTACTCGATCATAAGCCTTGAGACCAAACTCAGAAACTATCACTCACTCAAGAGCAATATGACTCGTTAATCCCCATTTGGACAACTTTTAGTCAATCATGATTGATGATGTATTCTTGTCACTTATCTTATGTTGTATTTGCCACTTGACAACAATAAAAGTCAAACAAGAGTCTCCCCGGGTAATTAAACGCAACCCGGTAAAAACACAATCCAAACAAATAGAACCAAAAGCCAAAAGTATAACCAGAGTGCTTTAACGAAAAGACTCCCACAGGAGACCCGGACGGCGGTTCAGGAGGGAGGATCGGATGAATCGTCGATCTGTCTTCTATATTGAAAATTTAGAAATGGGGCGAGAAGATTATTTTGTTACGGTTAAAGATTGTTTGATGGGTGAGAAGATTTTTTGTTAGTGATTTTTTTTGTACTCGTAGTAATATACATGCCATTCAATATCAACTTCATTCTATTTACTTGATTAGGTCAGAATCGCGTTTGATTCAAAGTATTTTATATCCAATGTGTACATTATTGGAGAGATGCTTCCATAGGAATGTCATTACACTTGATAATAAACCGCTTTAAATAAAGGCGAAGCGTCGTTTTCTTCATCATTGAACCTCTATCCACTGGCCTATAGCCAGCAGGAGTCATCATTGAACACTCATAATATATGTACTCCCTATATATTCTTTTCGTGAGCTAGCACTGGCTTAAGAAACTACACATTGGCAATCCTTTAATAGTATTCAGAGTAATCGTACTCCCTATATATTCTTTTCGTGAGCTAGCACTGGCTTAAGAAACTACACATTGGCAATCCTTTAATAGTATTCAGAGTAATCGTTAGTATCAATCAAGAGAATAAGCAAAAAAGGGTATATATATATATATATATATCCCAATCCCTTCTCTTTTGTCAAAGCCATACAAAGATCAGTGATCCAGCCATAAGAAAAAAGGATTATCCTATCTTTTCCAAGCTAAGTAAAAATAGGATAGGATGCATAGTGACGAGAGCAACAACAATGATGGTTTCGGGCTGAGTTTGAGCCTGGCAATGCGGTCCACCGACGGCCCGAATAGTGGATTCGAGCCAACCCATTCTTTTCCTTTGAATCTTTTGCATCCTCGCCTCTTGTCTTTCATGCACCAAAATGATACTCTCAAGAATCTCCCTACTTCCACTACTAACACAAATGTTTCTGGTAAGTGTTATGTTTTTATTCTCAAAATAGAAGTAGTTACTGTTAAGTTTGGAAAATACTGATAATTAGTCTTATTTTGATAATAAAAACATGATAGTCATATTTATATATATATATGAACGTTTTTTATCCTATTTAGAATAATTTAGCCAAGTTAAATACCCAGCTAGCTACATTATAAAATGTCAACGATAGGGTTTTTGCATGGCTTAATTATTTCGAATCCTGTATTTTATTTAGGTGTAGAAGAGAAAAGTGGGGAAAAGAGAAGGTACGAGAGAGCTGGGATTGACATAAATCAGCCGGCACCGACGACGGAGTATGATGAACACGTCATGGGTGCATCATCGCCGCACAGCACGGCGGCTTCGACGGTGACCGGGAAGAGGAGCGAGAGGGAATTTGACGCCGAGGAGGAAGCGGCGGCAGAGATGACTGGCAGCTCCATGGATGAAGATGGAGACGAGGCGGCTGCAGCCGCCAGGAAAAAGCTGAGGTTGACCAAGGAACAAGCGGCGGTTCTTGAGGACACCTTCAAGGGTCACTGCACCCTCAACCCGGTAAGTACATACCCAGTGGCATTTGTTTTGTTGTGTGATCTAAACCCTACAGGTAAGTGTCATATTTTCATTTTCATTTTTTTACGATGACAAACTTTGGACAATTATTTGAATTATTTAATAGATATATAATTTAGAAACTTTATACTTTTATGAAAGTATTTTGAATAAGGAACATTTTGATATAATTTTCATTTTCATATTCTAAATAATTTTGTATTAAAAATATCATTGGTTAAAGTTCATTGTCACCAAGAAATGTCCATTTAGCGAACCTTTTCGGGACGGAGGGAGCATGTGGTATACAGAATACAATATTTCATTTATTATACTTAAATCTCAACCACAATTTTTATTCTTTCAATCATTTTTATTCATAATTGTGATGAACCAGAAGAAAACACATAAAATAGGACATAGAAAGTATGATACTCCTATATATGAACCCTACTAGCTCTTACAAGTGGAAGCTAAGTTTGGTATATAAAAGAATGAGAAATTATCCAAAATAGAACTAAAAACGTTTGTATATTCAAAAATGGGACTATCATGTTTTTATTCCCAAAATATGACTAATTACTGTCATGGTTTGGCAATACTAGACTTTAAACATGGCAGTATTTTCCAAACTTGACGGTAATTACTCATATTTTGAGAATAAAAACATGTCAATCCTATTTTGGAATTTTCAAACTTTTTTACTCCTATTTCAGGAATTTTCCCATAAAAGAATTGGCTATACTATTAGAGAAAATAGGACTATTATTAGAAAATTGCCTATAAGTTCCCTAGGTAAAATGTATCAAACTTTAATTTATTTTCTTTCTCAAAATAGGACTCATACACTCCTATAGTCCTATTTAGAATGAGACATTTTTATTCTTTATTTTTTAATTAGAACCTAATAAGTCATGATACTAGTATTATGTGAAGAAAACATATTGAATGACATAAGAATATATTTATCCTAATAAGTTTTAGTCCTGCACTCCTGCTCTAAGCCATTATATTTCTAATGGTATAATCTTGCTTTCTTTTTCAGAAGCAAAAGGTGGCCTTGGCGAAACAGCTGAATCTTAAGCCTAGGCAGGTTGAAGTGTGGTTCCAAAACAGAAGGGCAAGGTGGGTAATAAAACTTGTCCTGTCAGTAAAAAGTAGAGCATTGATGGATTGTTTTGTTTGTTTAGGAGTACTTGTTTATTTATTTAACGATGGGAAAGTTTGGGGATTAAAATAGTTTGAAAATTTCAAACTAGAACTGTAATGTTTTTTATTTACAAAATATGAGTAATTACTGGCTAGTTTAAAAAATACTGCTATGTTTGAAGTCTGGTACCGCTAAAACATGACAGTAATTAGTCATATTTTGAGAATGAAAACACAGCAGTGTTATTTTAGAATTTTAAAAACTTTTTATTCCTATTTTGGGCAGTATTCTCTTGAGTTAATTATCAAAATAGGACTAAAAGTCATTCACTTTTCACAAATAGGACCAAAAAATAAACTATATTTGCATAGGACTAATTATGTGTACTTTGGACAATTATACCATTATAGCTATTAAAATGTTTTAATTCCTAATAAAATAATTAAAAATAATAAAAATTCGTAAAAAATACTAAAAAATTAAGAAAAACATTTCGATATTAAAAATTTAATCAATTTTTTTTCCAAAAAATTTAAAAAATTTAAAAAAATTTAAAAAAAAATTAAAACTCAAAAAAAAAAAAATCGCCACCGCCTCTGCCGCCTCAGCACCACCACCTCCAGTCACCAGGGGAAAAAAATGCCAAGTTCATTACGAATGCCATATTTATGGCAGAAAAAATGAAAATGTTGGCATTCGAAAAGAGAAATATGCCACTTTTTTTGGCATTTTCAGAAAAAAATGGCATTTTTCTGGGAAAATGGCATTTTTTTCATCGGCCAGATGTGGTGGTGCTAGGAGGTAGTACAGGCGGTGGGAAAGGCATCCATATTTTTTTAAATTTTTTTTACGAAGTTTTACTATTTTTTATTATTTTTTTTAAAAATAAAATTATTTTTAAAAAAAAGTTTTTGATTTTTTTATTTTATAAAAATTTTATAAATTTTTTAATTATATTTCTACGAATTTTTGAATTTTTTTCGAATTTATTATGAATTAAATATTTAATTATGGCTTTTGACTATTTTTAATTCATATTTAATGGAAGGGTAAGAATGAAATGCAAAAATAGGTATGTTTCCAATAGGACTCATATGGTCCTATTTTGGAATAAAAACATAGCAAGTCCTATTTTAGGTTTTTGCCATAGTTTTAGTCCTATTTTAACTAATTTCTATATTCTCTTTAACAATTTATTTCTTGGCACTCTTCAATCTATACAAACAAACAAATTTTCAAATAAAAGGCTGGGTAATTAAACGGGATGCGGACTAATCAACGCTTAATTATGATTATTATAGGACGAAGTTGAAGCAAACAGAAGTGGATTGCGAGTACTTAAGACGGTGTTGTGAAAGGCTAGCGGAAGAAAACCGACGATTAGTAAAGGAAGTGGGGGACCTACGAGCGCTGAGACCGCCGCCGCCGCCGCAAGTGTACATGAACATGACCCCTCCCACCACGCTCATCATGTGCTCGCAGTGCCAGCGCACTCGGCCGTCGTCCTCCTCCTCCTGCGCCGCCGCCACATCTCCGATCTCCGCCACCGTCTCTTGCCACCCACAACAGCCGCCGCCGCCGCATGCTTCTCTCATGCAATGGGCTGCAATGCTCCAGTCCCAGTCCTCTTCAAATTGCGGCCATATTGAGCAACTATTGTAGCAATATTATTGCATGCATCAGGGCGGCCGGAATTAATTAATTAAAGTGATCGATTATAATGAGCGTTTCGTGTTTATTTACCACACGTTGGATATATTTATATAGCTTCCGAATGTTGAAGAATGATATTCGAAGGATATGGCAGGCTAAGAGGTTAATAGGTAGAAGAGGGTTAATGATCGCTCAATTAATTTTGTGTCGTTCGATCAATATATCAATAGACTAGATCGAGGATTAGTTGTATTATGATGCGGAATATACTGTATTGGATTTATTTATTTTGGGAGATCAAGCCATGGTAATAGTTTCCTCATTGTTACGCGAAATTCATAAGAAGAATTTTTAGAATTTTGTTCCATTAACGGTGGTGGATGCGGAATTTTTCGCAAATCCAGATGGACGATAGATTATCTAAAGGAGGAAAAGGATCAAGGCCCGATCATGGACGAGGAGGTTGTTGACAGATGGGGGAACTAGAAAATATTTGAAGGTGGAGCACAATCACAATGCAAACAAAAATGGAAAAACCTACAGGACAGCAGACAGTAACGACAGTCGGCGAATACCGGTTAGCAGTGAGAAGTGTGTACTCTGGTGGTGAGCTGGCTCCGGGAGTCCATTCAATCCGGTGTGGCGCTGCTTGTCTTCAAACTTGTGACTTGCGGGTCTTCGGCAATTGGCATTGTTGGCGAGTGGGCAATGCGACATTCAAGGCTCTGAGCATTTCAGACTTACAAGGCTCAATGCCTGCTGCTTGGTCTGATCGGCCTTGGGCTGGGTTTTTTTTCTTTGAAACAACGTCGTTCGAAGATTAAAAAAAACTGAATATTCTATAAAATTTGTAGCCATTCTCATTTCTCGGAAATCCTGTCTTCCAAGTTTCAGCCTCCTCACTACCTCGCTTCATCGCTGAAAAATATGGATTGGATAGTCCCGGCAGCCCTCAGCTCCTACCCCTTCGTACACCTATCTCGTATGGCTGAAGCAGGGGCATCATCTCCCGGCCTTAGATTCGCCCCTATCGATGAGCAAGATAGCTATTCATTGTAGGGCAGTGGAATTTGCTACTTTCCAAGAGACAATGCCAATAGTATGGCACCTGATCAAGGAAGGGGGTAACTGGTAAGCATTGATGAGGTTATGTCAGAGTGATAGCTGATCCATGGACGTTTGAACAAAACTTGACGTGGGGTAGCAGGTATATGGCAATTCATTTTGAATAAGACCTGCCTGTTAGATTCAGGTTCGAAAAAGTAGGTTAACCATTAGGGTATTTTAATGGTGAAAAGATTAAGTGTAAGTAAGACGGGATTTCGGAGAAATGAGAATGGCTACAAATTTACCAGAATATCCATATCGACCATGGGTCATCTCGAAACAGTCTCTATGTGCTTTAGTACAGGGGTAAGACTGCGTACATCTGACCCCCCTTACCCCACCGTAGGTGGGAGCCTTTGCGGCACTGGGGTAAATGAAAATGAAAATCCATACTGACCATGAATCATTGTAGCTTCTTCAACACTATTGAGCTCCCAAGTGCAAATTAGCTAGTCTTGTTTGTGTACTCTATAAGGTATCAACTGCCTTTGGCATGTCAGGCCATCTCACCAATGCCAATTAAATCCTCACCACAATACTCAGCTCAACAAAAAAGGTATATATTATTATACCACACACACACGCACTGTAAGTGAGACATAAAACTATTAGCTAGCTATTAGGTGCATTGTAAATCGGGTTGCATGTCACTTAAAAACATATTCATACTCACTGCCTCTACAAACATATTCAAATGTTTGTAGCCATTACAAACAATTATGATACAACCCTCACGTTGAACCGAACTAAACTTGTGCAGATTCCCTTTGGTGAATAGGTGATGTGCCTGAACTTGCAGGATTGGCATGGTACTGCCCATAAAGTGCATATATACCAACGGCAACAATGCTGAGAAGCACAAATCTCACCCATGCCTCATAGTGCAACTGCACAACAAAAAATTAAAATGATTGAATATGGATTTCATGGTTTTTTTATGTTGTATATTTTTCCATGGACACAGCTAATCTATAACATTTGTTGAAACTTAATGGACTGCCTGGATTCTGGAAAATGATGTGTTAAGGGGGGAAATTTTGATGATAAGGAGGTTGAGTTCTTACGGTTTTATGGTTTACCTTGGAAGATGCAAAGGAAAATACCATATGATTGTTTGTGTAACTTTTTTTACAAACTTTTAAAATATCTTTGCCTTTATACATATAATAGATATATATACTTAAATGAGTATCAAGAAATATGAAAAGGGCAGCCCTATGCACTTTGGCGTCTCCTCAAGGCGAGGATCCGGGGAAGGGACCCACCACAAGTGTGGGGAGCAAAACTCCCCTTGCCACTTTGACAAGAGACCGCTCCCAATACTTGAACGACCTCTCAGGCAACGTGTATCTGGTGCTCCAAGGCTCCCTATTGAGAATCAAGAAATATCTAGAACAAATTTATCTGTGTTTGCCTACGCTTACTTTCCCTACACATTTCCTCTGCTATATATAGTTCTCAATCGTAATTTCCTTCCGCACTATCTTCTCGGTTTGAAACGCACCCTAAAATTTGTTCATATTATGACAAACAAGTAAACCTGGGCAAATAGAAAAATATTGAAGAAGATGCAGGCAGCTGGAAGGATTGGAACTCCAGGACAAGAAAACCCTGGCGGATCTTCATAAACCTGCAAAAAGTAAAAGAAATTCTTTTATACACAAAATATTCAAGAAATGAAGAGTGTAGTATGCTTTGATTCAATGGGGTGTTAACGGTAATTACATGTCGGAAATGAAGAGCAACCGCAGCAAATATTGCAATGACAGCAGCTGCAATCAGGAAAGCAAAAGAAGCCCTAAAACGGTAAAGGGCTCCTGCAGCAAACCCACAACAGGCAACTAAAAAAAGGCAAATGACACCTTCTCCTCTCTTTGAAATTAATCTGGCAGTGACTTTATTCTCATTCTTAACCTTCCATCGAAGGGTTACGGCACAAGCTGAAACAACAGAATACCCTGTCTGCAATAGGGCAATGACATGTGATCACATTTTTTGTTTACATGTATTTGGATTTCTTAAAGTAAAAATAAATAAATAAATGAAATAAATAAATAAATAAATAAATGGATAAATAAATAAATAAATAAATAAATAAATGCAAATGAGGGAACACAGATATCTTGGGGGTATGTTTGGAAAATGATATGAAAAGAAGTTAGTGGGAATAGTATAGGGATAATTAGGAAGAGATGAATATGTCCAGGAGGATAAATCATTGGTTAAAAATCAATAAATCAATTGTGAACAGTAAACTCTTTAAATTTATACCTTTTTCTATTATGCAAAGACCAAGTAATTCATATATGTGTCAAAAAAAGTAATACACTTCATCAAATTTCATTTACATTTGTATTTTCCCAGGTAAAGGACTAAAGGCAAGCATAATAAAAAATAAATTATCATTACCACTTTTTTCTCTTTTCCTACCATTTAGCAAGTTCCAAAGGTGGCCTAACTATGTTTGGCACAACTAATTGAAAGATACTTTTATGAGCTTTTTAGTAACTGTTAGCTTTTAGTGACTGAAAAGATCTTAAAAGAAAAAGTAGTAGTTGTTTAATAAAAAGCTAGCTGTTTGATTTAGTTTCGTTTGGTATACAAGCTATTAGGACAAATTAATGCTGAAAGCTACAGACAAATTAATGCTGAAAGCTACAGGCATCTAAAAAAAGATCTTTTATTTTTTAAAAAGCTCTTAAAACTTGGCATGCCAAACATACAACGAGAAATTTGTAAAGACTTCTTAAATAGTGCAGAAGCTAGAAGTTAGTGACTTATGCCTACCAAACATGCTCTTAAATAAAGTCATTATGTTTGGGATGATCTTTCGGTTTCACCTGACTTCTCCCCCCCCCCCCCCCCCCCCCCCCGTTTTCCTCTCTATTCTCCTTCTCTAATATTTTAGGGGATCGAAACCAAACATTAAGAAAGTGGAGAAAAGAAACAAAGAAAACATACCAAGGTGCCGACTGAGAGAATGTGTGAGAGCAAGTGGACATTAAAAAGGCCAGCCAAGATGATGGCAACAATCCCTACCCATATTTGAGAACGAACAGGTGTATGTCGAGTCAGATGTACTCGAGCAAAGAGTGAAGGCAATAAACCATCCCTTCCAAGCCCAAGATATAATCTGGACTGCTCATCGACCATAACATCACAATTAGTTTATACCTTAACTGAAATAAATCAGATCAAAATGGATATGTATTTTACTACCTGAACATAAAGCCCAACAAGAAGTGTTGTGGTGAGTCCAGCAACAGCACCAATGCTGATTAGCACTGAAACGTAGGTCAAGCCCTTGGACTTAAAAACGTGTGCTAAAGGAGCTTCCTCTCCAAGGAGTTGGTATGGAACCATCCCGGTTAACACTAAGCAAACACCAATGTATAGTGCAATGCAGACAAGCAGACTCCCGATAATGCCTAATGGTAGGTCTCTCTAAATGCATTTGACAAAACATATACTGTAAGAGATACATACTTTAAGCCAGTAATTGTCAAGTGTGAATGGAATTCATCAGCTACTATCTTACCTGAGGTCTTTTAGATTCTTCAGCCGAATTAGCAACTGCATCAAATCCAATATATGCAAAGAAAACCACAGTGGCCCCAGTCAATATTGATCTTACACCATGTGGAGCAAAAGGGGTCCAATTTGAGGCATCAACCTTAAATGCCCCAGCAATGATTACAATAATAACAATGGCTATCTACAAAATGCACATTCTTTGTTAGCTAAAAAGGAAACGTGTATAATATTACAAGATGAAGTCAGACACTCTACTTCAAATACAACTTCTTAAAGCCGTCTAGTACCGGGGGGCGTAGCTCATCTGGTAGGAAGAGAGTGCCACAAAGGAGAGGTCCCGAGTTC